AAACTGCCACATTTCAGTTGCCTGCACGCATTTCGCTCCTTCTCCTGTACAGTTTGAACTCCAGTTTTGAGTGACGAACTACAAATGCTTTAGAAGTATAACCTAAGGGTCTCCCCTTCACAGAGATGCACTTGCTCCAGTGTCACTATGCTGGGGATGGAAAGCATTGAACTGAGCAGTCAGGCGCACAGGAGGTAGATTTTAATCCATGACAGTACTAGGTCATGGACAGTAGCCCTTCAGAAGGAGTCCTTCTAATTGAAGTTAATGAGAGTGGAAAAAGGTTTGAGGTTTCGATGAAACAAGGTCATTCCAAAGAGACACATGCAATTGGGCTTATTTTTTTTTTAAGTTGCACTTAATCAGTGAATCAATGGAAAAGGAGCAACTGAAATAAATCCATGCTCATTCTTAAAACCCATGTTTCATTTAATTATATTGCACTTATACAATCTATAACCCATGGTTTTCCAGACTTAACAAATGAATTGGAACTGGTCTGCCTTAAAAACCATATACAGAGAGCCACCACAACAATGAATTTTTTTAAAAAAGAAGTTAAATCTGACCTGACATTATTCTACACACTAGGATGAATTTTCCTTTTACCTCTCATGTATAAACCAAGTTAAATTAATGCCTGAATTTTGTGTTTGTTGAAAAACCACCTCAAGTAAGAACTCATTGTGCCGTGTTTTAACTTTTACGCAAGTCAAGATAGGAGCTATCTCCTATCCCCAAAAAATGTATTTATCTGTATGAAATATTTTTCTTTGGCAGCTAAAAGTCAAAATGAATGTGAATGAACGAACAAGAATTTTGTTCTGTTCTAAGAAAGGTGGCTTTTGTAAAAGTGTTGCTGGCTTGAAATGTTAAATTTCAAGCTAAGCTACATTTCTTCAGTTTAGGGGGCTTAACGATAACTTTACACTAATACCCCCCCCCCTTTAAACAGTTTTACATTTAATTTTAATCTGAATGTACAGTGTTTGATGTTATTTCCCGACAAAACAAGCTAGTGTTTTGATTAATCTTAATATCAAGCATTTTGAATAAAACATTGATCCTACTGACATTTTACCACAGTTATCAATATCTGATTTACTTCCAAGTATCCATTACCTCATAAATATTTATTTTAATAAAAAGAGGATTCCCAAGCCAACTTACTTTGACACTTGTCATCATCTGCAACAAATCCTCTCACTTTTTTTTAGAAAATCAAGGAGACCATGCTTTTATACACAGTTGGATAACTCTTGACAAAGGAGCCAATTAAATTCTACTTAATTCACCCACTCTGTGAAAATCCCTCTGTGTTGGTATGTGAGAAGACTGTTCATCATATGATATATGTAACTTTCTCAGAACCTGGGCAGAAAGTAGATTTATCAGTCTTCCCCAATTCTGACAGTAGCAAACCCAGTTTTTGTCATAAAAATACCTATCAAGGAGAAGCAAAGGGATACAGATATACAGAGTCATGGAAATGGCAAAGAAAGAAAGAAGCAAATCACAGCATAAGCCACAATCAATCTAGTTTAATGTTTATATGTAGAAGTTACACATAACAGACACTAAACAGGAATTTCAGATGTTAACAGAGCTGCAATAAAATTAATGCTGCTATATATTAAAAAAATAATCTCAATACAGTCATCTGGTTGTGTTTTTTTTGGTCTACATAAGTTCTTTGAAATTGATTTATACCAGTAATTAAGACTGAAATTTTTCCCTATTATCCCATCCTACTCTCCACGTTTCTAGTCTTTGGATGAAAGAAACAGCAACGTTACATTTGTTGAAAGTATGTGCCCTTTGGTTAGAAGCAGAAAACTTTTCAAAACCCTCTCTCCAAGTAAAATGTCACAGGGCTTAAAATGATGGGGTAACATCACCCCACTTGGTATTACAAAAATGTTTGTGACAACAAAAGATTACATAAATGCTGATAAATACCTCAGCACCAGTACCCAGACTGAAAAAAAAAAAACGGTCTTGGGTCAGAACCAATTTTTACATTGTGATAACCTCTCCTCGTACACTGCCATATAAACCTCAGTGCCAAATAGACAAAATGTAAGTCTCAAAACTGTATGATACAAACACCTCTTAATTGGATTGAAGAAAAGCACATCTGTATGGATTCAGAACACATTTTATTTGTGGTTAGACAGCTCATGCATTCATGCAGGACCAAGCTACCTACGCCTATAGCTTCAAAGTCTACAGGGACGGATTGGGGGGGGGCGGTTGGGGGTGGGGGCAACATCCAATATATTGTCTTTGTCAGCAGTTCTGCACTTGAGCCAGAAATATTGTTTTCCTAAAGAAACGTTGTCACATATTTTAAAAAAAACATACACATCTTGATAATATTTACAAAAAATATTTAATTAAAAATATTTCATAATTACAGTCGGTCTATTAAAGCATAAACTTTTCTCACTTACACTTATAGAAGCTCTCTCTATATACATAGTATGAAATGTCACTCGTTTTAATCTATACAATATGTAACATTCCTGCAGGGAGAAGAAAATCCCCGAGGAAACAATAAAACCATCTATTTTAAACAATAGATGCCGAAACAAAAATTATCTACAATGCTTCTGGTAGATTAGTAAAGCTTCAGATTTTTAACTGCTCGACGCATTAAAGTTATATTTCTAAACTCCAGTTTTTGCCCTTGATCTTCAATCCAACAGAAAACCACACAATACTGAAGATTTAAATCCCCCTCCCTCCTAGACATGTACACAATTCACATCTGATCTAAAAAAAAAAAGTTTAAGAGTCGTGTGAAAAATGCTATGAACGTACAAAGCTGTGATTTCTATTTTCTCTTTCTCTCACTCTAAAGGAAGTATGGAAAGAATTCTGGAGTAGTTGAGGTTTCTTTTTTCTTTAGCCTGGTTAGGCTGATTATTGTTTTTTTCTGTTTTGTTTTTCATCTCTCTTGTTTTCCCCCTCCCTCCTCTAATGTGTCTTTCTGCTTCTGTGGCTCAGGATCTGCTTGCTGCACACCTGTGGAAGAGGAATGAATAGAGGAGGGGGTGTGAACCATTCTGCTCCAGACTGACTGGCGCCACCAACAAAACAGAAGACATGCTTGATCAACAATCCAAAACAAACCAGGTCAAACAACAAGGGCAGCTCCCAGGATAGGCCAACTGAGGAATAGCTACAAGTCCCAGCGAGAACAAGCTTGCCAGGGAGTAGAAGAGAGGGAAGGAGTTAGGGAAAAAGTGCCCTGCAAGTCACTCCTCCATTTCTGTTTGCACAGATGAAGAAGCACATGAGCGACATAAACCCCTGATGCGTATTTTACTTGGGAAATTAAGTTGTATGGAATTAAATAGGATTTGCATCCAAGTTAAAAAAAAAGGGGGGGGGTGGAGGAGGACTTCAGTCGACAACCTATGTGCCAAAGCAAAATACACACGAGACATTCAACAGCAACCAATAAAGGAGAATATTTGTAGTTTCAGGGTTGAGATGAGAGGTCTTTGGTGCTTCTCTGAGCTTGGTGGTTTTCTTGCAGATGTTTTTGTCACCTTGTCTGGTGCAAGAAATGCAAGAAAATACGCCCAGCTCAGAGAACATCAGGGACCCTTCACTCAACAGCATTTCCATAATGTATTATTCATGGATCTTACAGAAAAGAAAAGGAGGGAATTCCTAAAGACCGTTCGGAAAAAAGGGCGGCTTGCTTGTCCTTTGCATCAGTCAAAAGATCTTGCAGTAAAGACCAAAGGCAGCTTTCTTTTTCTAAGCATGCAGAAAGCAGTTTCTTTTTCTTACGTTTTGCCCATCGTACGGGACTTAGAACATACCAAAAGTCTGGACTAATTAACATGCGCTATCTGCTTCAGACCCTACCTATCTTAAAATACGCCTGCAGAATTAAAAAGGAAATATAAGGGGAGAAGCTTGCCTCCT